TTAAATCAATAAATTCGAATTTTTCACTGTGCATGCATTTGTTTAGGTTGTGGTGACCGGTCCCCTGAATCTCTTTTTAGAGTGCAGTTTTACCATCTAAACATTTCAGATGTTAAATACGCAAATACATTTCACTTTCTGTCGTCATGATTTCAAAAGTCAATATTTGCATCATATCATGCTCTTGTGAGACTACTTGTGGGACCGTGTGTCTCTTCATCTCTGTTCTCACCCAAACAATGGGTGGTTACCGCAGCAATGGAGTCTCCAGGACAACAGGTGAACAAAGGGCTTTAGGAGGGGGGAATGCTGGGAGAGGGGTGGAGGGGCACCAGGGATGCCCTTGGCCTCTGTGTGGTCAGTGGGGGACATGGGCCTCTGGAGGATCTATAAGAAAATGTCTGTCCTTCTTTGCAAGCATGAAATGATTGATAATCCTCTAACTAACTAAGACTCTGATGCTGACACTGTCAGTTCTTCCCTCCACATGATGTATGGCCTCATTTGCTTCCACGTGAGGTAGTTGCAATGATAAGTGCAAATTCCACTAACACAGCATATAGTCTTCATATCAGCTCAGTGACTCTGTTCTGAAACTGGGAACATGAACCTCACACAGCAGTGCATGGAGAGTAAGTCAGTGTCTTTAGGATCAATGGAATTCATTCAGATATAAGAAACCATTTATGATTTTGTAACCATTTAAATAAGATTATTTATGTTTAGCAGTCATACATTGTAGCAGAAGAAATGTATACATTTCAGAAAGCCTGAAATAAACACATTTGCACTGGAAGAAATGCTTTACTAAAGAACTACTGAAAAGTACTGAATTAATAACAAAAAAAGGCTATGTATAATTTTTCTAAATTATGACAGATTAATAGAGCATGCAGTCCGACTGCTGCAAGCTGTATTTTTTTATAAACAAAATCTATATTTTATTTTCTATTTAAACCGTTTTGATAATTAAATTATTTTTATATTTTATTTTTACTTATTGTAATGTCAAGGGTCTTTTTTTTTTTAAATGTCTTACAATAAACAAGAAAATATTGCTATGATATTTATGCGTTCTTTATTTTAAGGTTATGGAACCAAATCTTTATTTTTTTTTATATGGTTCAAATAAGAAAACGGTATAAATTATCCTTAAACAATTTACTATTTTATTTAAACAATTTATTACAGTTTAGTTTTTTTTATGCATTTCAGCAGTTCAACAATATGCACTGATCACAAATGGAAAGTGAAAAAAATTGAAAGTCTAATGCAAATGGATGACAACTATGTATTGGTTTAATGCTCTGCTCGTGCTGATTTGAAAAGATCAAAAGATCTGACCTGTGTGTAAAACTAATCTTGTTTAATCCTATTGGATTAACACGCCATTTCTTTGTTGTCCTAAAGTCTGTAGCAGACACCTCATACACTCAGAAGAAATCTGACAAAATCGTAAATCCTGTCAGCTCATTTGAAACGAATATATTCACAAATACAAACTTTATTCAACTTCATCGACAATTCAATTGATTAACAAATTAATTTAATAAACATTTTTCGTTCTGATTTACTATGTAAACATGCATATAATTATAGAGTTAAAATCTATTTTTGTGACAAATATGTAGCTACATGTATTTTTATTATATTAGCTACTTAAAAAAACATCTGATAATGTAGCGCTGAATTTTAGGTTACATTTAGCCTATGTAAATGTAGCCTACCAATCAAAACAAACCTGACAAACACAATTCTGATGTGAAATTAGCTATAATAGTAGGCTAATAATAACAAACAATAGGCCTACACCATATAGCCTACATAGCCTAATTTTATGCTGTTTTTACATTCCATGAATTTAAGCTTCAAGCTAAACCATTTTCTATTGTTAATTCAACACATTACCACCACATGATAACGAAAAATAGCCTGCAACAAATGTAGGCTAATCTTTTTATTTATTCAAATGTAATGCCAATTAAAATCAACTCAAGTTTTCTTCAACATTGCATTTTAAAAAATCAACTTTAAACAGCTCTTCATTATTTTAAAAACAATTATGCTAATAAAAGCCACTGATATGAGAGATGCTGATTGGAGACGCGTGGGAGCCTCCAGCAACAGATGTCCAGGCACAATTCTCGACTGATCGCTTGACATTTCACAAGAATTGCGTTTGGACAATCAACTGCTGGAGCTCATATTTCCATAAACAGCACAACTGTGTGTGAATATTTACTGTATAGGATCTATGCGTTTGGGTCCTCGTGTGTTTCTGCTCTTCAGTGGGAAAAGGCCTTGAAGCACATTGTTTTTTCTTCACATAATTCAGGCGTGTAGCCTTTCAGCCTACATCGGCTGTATTTCATAAATTCCTTGGCGGTAAAAATACATCATAATATTTTTCGGTCCACTTTTTTTCGTTATCTAGAGAAATGTCAGAATAGCACGGGACAAAATTGACGCTCAATATCCTACTGTCCGCCTGGAATGTTGCTTTAAGACTGTATGTTCTTTTACCAAAAACAATAGCATATTTCCACAGAGCTATTTTTTTCGGTTACTAAAATAACAACGGCGAAATAAAATCAGGTCTTACCGGGTAAAAAAGGCAGAGAATAACCAAATTAATTGTAAAATATTATCAATTAATTCGTTCCGGTGTTATAAATAAATTACCAATAGCGATTCACAAAATTTCCCTCGGAAATGATCGAGGAATGTGCTGCTCTGTCGATGCGGTCGCGGATCATTAGGAGGTTGTGCTGCACCATCACCAGACACTTTCTTCAGAAGGCACGCCATGTCTGCACCTGTGAGATGTTTCTGATCAAGTATGGAAGACCAAAAAACGAGTAAAAAAAAAAAAGAAACATCGTGATGTGCGTCAAATTCCACCAGAGGTCTCGTTCCGCGGTGCTGCGAGTCTCCAACTTCAATGCGCAGAATAAATAAAGTTCTTCAGCGTGTTCAAGACACGATGCGCGTGACGCTCACAATGCATGTTAGTGAGGAACGAAATTCAGTTATACATAGGCTTTTATCACTCCCATCCAGAGGACTGCTGTAAATGAGGAGCAAAACACTGGCAGCGTTTCTGGCTAAAGGATGCGCGGAGGCTCGCGTGACAACTGCGCAGCTTTCTAAATAAACGGCGAGGGCGAGAGTGGGGTCGGTGGTCGCTTGGTACGAGATTTGAATAGCACACCAGTGAGTGATAAATGGCCATTGTGGTGAGAAGGGGATGAGTATCCACTGTCTCAATCGGCGTAGTGACCAGCAGCTGCGCTGGGACCAGCAACCTCTTAAAGACACAACACTCTATTTTTTGCCCATTGCAATTACAATCCAGCAGTGTCTACAGAGCCATTACGTATCGTGTCCTCGATGACGTTTCCCTTCTCTCAAAAGCCACTCGTGTAAGGGATTACCTGGCACTTTACCACAAAAGAAGCGTTCATGGACACTTCATCAGTAAAGTGTTTTTACAGGCTGCAAACATTCAAATATAGGCAAATACCAATGGCATATAAAAATAAGAACACCATCAGTGTTTCATTCATGACAGGTTACTAAAAGCATTTTTTTAAAACGTATATTTAACCAGGGTTATTATTTGTCAAACTTTTTATAGTGACTTTTTCTCAAGGTAGATTTAATTTTAAAAGTTAATTTCTGTATAGCCATACACCTTAAAATATTGACTACAAAAAAATCCACTTAACAGTTGCTCAGGAAAAAACAGAGGTTTATCATATTAGGGTTTTATTTAAACAGGCAAACAATTTGGAAATACAAAACAGTTTTTAAACAACAATATAGGCTATATTAAAGGTGACAAAAATAACAGACCACTTTTTTGGCCAACAAATACTGTGATTAATAAATCATATAATTTTATAGCAATGTTTTTAAAAAATATATTTTTTAAACTATAAAAAAATAGGGTTGGAAGACAATTCACAAAAATGATCAAATTTAAGAGGGCTCTGAACTGAGTTTGCAACATTTTTTTTAATACTAATGAAAATACTCAATTGTGTAAAATGACTTTCAGTTACTGAGATCTAGTTTAGGCATTGTGTATTACTTTAAATATTTTTGTAAAACAGGGAAGACCCCCTAGTAGGCTTAGAACATTACCCTGAATAAATTTGCACTTTTGTGTGAGTTGTGTGTCCAGCCGTGCCAGTAACCTCTGACCTTTAGTATTGTTTGAGCTGAGAGTGGACCAAGAAATCCTGACCATTCAGAGAAGCTGGGAACGATCCATTGTAAAGGATTGCTCGGGGGAAACGTATTTGTCAGTGTAGCTGGAATGTTGACAATCTTTCACAAGTGATATTGTCTTTGAAGTTTAAAAAAAAAATTTTTTTTTAGTTTTGATGGAAATCTTTGTATGGCACAGCTTTGATTTGGATTCTCTACATCTGTCAGAAATCTCCAAACAGCACTGGTTCAGATTAAATTGGTAATTATTATAATATTATTACTTGATCATTTTCTCTTTTTAATCAGTTATGGTGTTAATTACATGAGTGGGTTCATAATTTAATAATTGTGCTGAGCCCAATGAAGAATGCTGTTTCTTTTAAGTCTAATAAAACTTTTTGCCTAGACAGCTCATGAAGCCTAACATCTGGCAGAAGGATATGAAACGGACTCTTTAAGCAATGTATAATATATGTGTTGTTGCATTGAACGCGTTTTGTCGATCGAGTGTTCATTCAGCAATTATTAATTCAGTAACGAAAAACAAGTGATTCTTTCAGAACTACAAAACTTTTGTTCATGTTGTTGGGTCGCAATAAAATGTACTGTCTTTATATATTATGGTATATAGAGGTGCAAAACGCTTTTATTTAGAATTTTTCTAACTTCATGCAGCATATTTCATTGCAAATTATAAGCATATTTATTTGAGTGAAAAGTTTAATTGAAAAATTTTATTCAATTTCACATTTTTGCCTGTTTTGCTTTGATGACAGCAGCACTTGACCTACATGAACTCAACAGGTTTGTTCTCCGGCATGGTTTGAGATGATCCAAAGAACATCTTGAGCTTCAATGGAAGAACATCTAAATGTCTGGATAAAGAGCCACATGATCCATGACATAATTTACTTATTTGTTACCTAGAATCTGAAATATTTATTTTACGTCATATTTATTTTAAAACCCTTTTTTTTTTTGGCAAGTTTAAAATACTTTTACATTTCTGCGTTTAGCCGAAGACACTTTGATCCATAGCGACTTATAAAAGAAGGAACAAAAAAAACGATTTAACAACAGATTTTTGGTGCATTCTTATATTAAACATTCAAGCACACATTTCTGAAGTAACACGGTTCTCTGAATATCAGAAATGTTTGAAGTGTTTGGAAACCTCTCGTTGAACATCGTGAGGAAAACACCACAATATAGTGCATTGAATGAATTTCAAAAAACACCCAATCACATGAAATGACACTAGAGGATCATAGTGAGGTCAGTGTCGTCCAGGTTTTAAACCAGGGGTTTCCAAACTGTTTTGCTAAATTGACACCTATGAAAAAAGTTATTTACATAAACACTCTGATATTTGATGTAATATGATGATGTAACCTTTCAAAGTATACAGAATTTTTCCTTACATGCCAAATTTCTGTTGTTTATTTACTTATGGTTGTTTTATTTTAATCCATTTTACATGTTTTTTTTTTAAAGCCATATACATTTTTACTTCAATACTGCATTGGCATTTCTAATTTATTGAATCTTCTGCATTTCCTCCAGAAACCTCTAGGGGTTTGCAAATCCAAATTTGGGAAAACCTGTTTTAGATACTATAATAGAGCATAACATGCAGGCTGCTGCCTCCCAATATACTGAACTTCAAAATATGGAAGAGACCTAACAAAGCTCAACTCCTTCAGTACAGAGTTATCAAAAATGACTATGCATTGATGTCAATTTTGGTTTTGTCCTTTATGACAGTTTCCTTCCCTCTTCTGGGGATCTAAACATGGCATCATAAAACTCAACTCCTTCAGAAAAGAAATACAGTTATCAAACATCTCATGTGTAGGTCAGCTCTGTTTCTGCTCTTCTGTGGTGTCCTGAGGTGGTGAAAGCGTCCTGGATTTATTCTTATGTGACGCTCTTCTTCCCTCTGCTGGAGAAGTCTGGGGTTGCGAGTCTGTGATATATGTCAGCAGAACATCTACACTCTGCTTCATGACAGAGTCTAGAACATTTTGTTCCTCTTGTGAAAAACGTCCCAAAACATAACGGTCAACTGGCGTTTTACCCGATGGCCGCCCAATACCAATACGCAACCGTGGCATCATCTGCGGGCACAATCAGCATGTGTTGTTATACTGAATTTCTACAGCAAATAACTACAGCTGATGTGTTGCTCTAGAAAATATTTGCTAACTTACATCAGTATGAAGGCAGTCCACACATGATCTCACACCATTGTGACCCCTGAGAGGATGAAAATATGGATCAGTCACCAATTAACTCAATATACATATTAAGAGAGAGAGAGAAAAAAGTTATTAATACAAAAAAATCAGATGAAAAGTTTTTATTCACCTTGCACTTCCACCATGTTTAATGCCGAACTTTCCAAGTGGTTTGTCAAGCTCATCGTGAATCAAGAGAATATGTTCGGGTGAAATTAAATATTTGCTGGCTGGAAAAAATTATAAAAATAAATAAGAAATAAATTCAGATTTCCAAGGATTGAAATGAGGAAAGAGGAAAATATTACAGTGTTATTATAGACAATACATCTCACCAGCTTTTGCCACACTCACACCATTGACGTTCATTAGCAACTTGGGTCGAAGAAGAACCAACTGGATATCTTGAAGATTTGTCACAATGACCTCTCCTGAAACCTGTCGGTCAGATCTCCAGCTATCCGGCGCTCCCAAACGTTCAGCTAACGTTGTGAGCACAGCCATACCAACACTATGTCGAGAGCCATTCATGCCAGGGTTTCCCAGCCCAACAACCTGAAACACAACAGCAATACACAATGTGATTCAGTCATAGGTTTATATACACACTTCATAGACACTAGTACCTATTCTGAAGGTTATTCTTAGCCATATTCCATTAGCTAAGTCCTTTTTTACTTTATTTTTTACTTAAAGCTTCATATAAACCTTTATTGTGCTAAATGACTAAATATGTTTCTTGTAATATACTAGTTGGCTAACAAGTGGAATATTAACCAAGTAGTTTCAAATAAACTGGTTATACAGTATAAGTGTCACTATTGGGAAAGCGACTAACAAATATATATAAATACTAATTTTCTTGAGTATTCGTGTCGTGACCAATTGAAAACTCACTACTGTAAGAATTGGCTAATAGAATAAATAAGTACTTTAACGAACAGCCTTATTGAAAAAGTCACTACGCTGGATTAATAAATAGTATTTACTAAACATGCACTATTTACACAAACTTTAGTATCTATTTTTAAGGAACACAGGTTAAACAGTTTATCATAACATGTTAATGCCAAGTAAAAAACTATCTGACGTACCATTTTCCTTCTATTACAGTCAACTATCGTTTGACCAGCCATCTTCGGCGATGGCAGCCTGCTCATCAACACTCGATTGATCAGTTTTGTTATCATCCGCCTTATGAGAGCCATTGGCAGTTTAAAAGCTTGTGTCACAGCCGCCCAGACTTTACCTCGCATCGCAACGTGGTGTTACTCATTATGAGTCATGGTGAGTAGTTTACGATACCGGTATGTTACACAGTTTCGGAACGACTTTCATCAGACAGATCTCAAACGGTGGACTTTTATATCACGGAATAAAAGTAACTGCAAAACACAGCAACGGCAATTTATATATATCGGGCATATGTATTAATTTAAATAAGTTTTGTTTACGATAGGATTGCGATTCATTCGCGTGGATCAGTGGACCCCGTTCTCCGATCCAAGTGTGTTGCGAGATTGCCAGATTTCACCTGTAAAATCCCCCTTAACGAGCAAAATATCAGGGCGAAGTGTAACATTTGCCTCTGTCTATCCCACAGCGGTTTTGAAGTATATGTCAAACTGAAACATTAAATGATGTGGATGGCAATAACAGGTGTCTTGACCATTTTAGGAGCTTAATTTGTAAAGGTGTTTTTTATATATTTGGCAACGCAAGGGCAACTGACCTTAGAGAAGCGAAGGAGTTTTGTCTTTACCCATAGCGCCATCTATCTTGATGGTGGAGAGTAACCTTTGGTAGATCAAACATAGGTTCATCTGAAAGGTTTACATACAGAAATATTTAATTACCCATATTTTAATAGACGCTATGTCATAGCAATACCGTGAATTAAAGCTGGATGATTTAATTCTGTTAGCCTGTATAGATATGAATGAATATAACGAATATGTCTGAAATGTTCATCTCACTTAATTACTGAATAACAACCCCATGGTTTACAATTACAATAAATAACACATTTAAAAAATACCACACGGGTCTTATTTCATCGTTTCACTTCAAATAAAAGCAATATTTTTTAATCCACAAATCTAAAAACATTAATGTGTTCACAAAATAAACAGACAAATAGACACACGTGTGTGTGTGTATTACTATTTGTCTGATTATTTTGTGAACACACACACATACACACAAAGTATGATAACCTCAAAACTGTTTCAAATGACTAAATCTCACAAATTATTAATTAAGAAGAATTTATTATTTAAAGTTGTAAATTTAGTGTATAATTCACAGGTGTCATGTGAGGTCCACAGGTGCCGGATGAATGCAGGAGGCAGAGGTGCTGGAGGCGCTGCTGGTGGAGAGTCCTGTGGAGACCCATGTAGTCTTGCCAGTTGCCACAAGGATCCATCTGTCAACTGCAGGGATGCTCTTCTTGCGCTTGGTCAGAGAGGAGGACTGCATCATGTCCGGTTTGAGTCAGGTGTGTGTCACTCATCATCACCCCAATTCTTTATAGAAGAATCGTCTAAAGACACCAGGCAGGAATGTGTTCTGTCTGGGGTACTGCACACATGTCCAATTTGTGGTGAACTTCTGAAAGTCTTGCTTGACTTAGGGCCTCACAACATCACTGGGTCAAGCACGTGCTCTTGTTTGTTTTGATCGTGACAATTGGCACGTGCCAGACTGAGTGCGCTTGTGTATGTTTGCCTCCTGTCAACATTTAAACATTGTAACATTTTCATAACTCTCAGACTAGGCTATAGGCCTATACTTGCCACCTTTTGCAATCAAAAACGAATGTGCTGTAATGGTGTCAGTGACATTCACAGTCATCTGTAGTAGAAAATAAATCATACAGTTCACAGAACACAACTTGACATTTTTGCAGGGCATGTTGTCACACTATTTGGGGTGCCAGAGCCTACAGCCTTTAGTAGACTTTCTAGCAAAATGTAAGCAGGAAAACAAATATAAAAACAAATGTACAAAATGTTGTTTCTTCAAGTGTGTGTTGAATATACACATCTTTTAAGCTAAATATTCTGATATACTTAAAAGTATAATACTATATTTTTATTATATATTAATATATAATGTATGTATTATAGCAACACAGTAATATTAAGAAATGTCTCCGTGATGTCTCGTGAAAGCTCGAGAGGGAACACACATTTGTGTAACTGAACTTTAAAAAGATGTAAAACCTTACTCAGATAGACTACAGTCCTTGTGACAACTTTCCCATGTGACAGCTTTTTTTTTTGTTTTTTTTGTTTTTTTACTAATATTAATTTCATTGCTAAAAGTTTGTGGTCTGCCAAACACAAAACCCAAATGTGGTTATGGTTATTGAGCTATTGGATAATGGATACAGATATTAGCTCCCAGAGCATCGCTGAAGAGGCCATTATCTGTTACTGAATGATGGGATATGGCTCGCTTTTCCAATTCATCCTAAATGTGTTCAGGTTCTTTAGTGAGTAATTAATATAATCTTTTTAAGTCAAAACTCAGGGTTGTACTACCTTCCACGTGCCAATTAATTTTTGGATAGCTTGTGGTACGGCAAATAACAGCAAATTGTAGTTCTCCAGTAGGCTACATTAACTCACTAGTAGCATTACTTTTCAAACTAACAACATGAACGTTTATAGTTTTCAGTGGCTGATTTTTAAAACATTATATTTGGTCTCCACAGTCTTGTTTGTGAAAATAATAAAAACGGTATTAACGCAAGATGGCGCAGTTTCATAATACACTGCTGCTGACTGTCAACACCACCCTCTTGATTAGTTGTTGGTTGCCTGGCGTTGCTAAGGAAGTCAAGCAAGTTTGCTTCTTCAGCGAACTAGAAGTAACGGAGAGCGGTTTCACTCTCAAAATATGTAATTTTATTCTTCACATAAATGTATATTTATATTTTGTAAAGATAAAAACGCTACATTTTAATTGTAGGGATAGCTAACTGATGTGTGACCATCGTGTGACATCAGTGAATTTAACATCACTGTTAGGGAGAGATTTCAGACAGCACTCATCAGAATAGTTCACTACTAATACATTTTAGTCTTAGTTTAAGTTCACGTTTGCTCTGAGGTTGTTTTTTAATAATAGTTATGTTTTTGTGGTAGTGTTTTAACAGTAACGTTGTTAGTAGTAGCCTATTGGTTGTTGTTGATAATGTTGTTCATTTACGACGCCCACTAATTCGTAGATGTCTGTTTCTAATTAGACAGTTTCATAGATGTTTCAATGATTATTAATCCGTTGATGTTTTTCATACAGTCTAACGTAAGACTGCAACAACTAACGTTAATTGTTTATGGATTGTGTGTTTCTGCAAAGCATTCTTCCTCTTACCACTTATAAGCTGTTAATATCAGGTTTGTGTTTTAAATTTCTAAATTAAACCCATTTTTCTAACTGAAGTGCTCTACGGGGTCAACAGACAAATTCAAATAAATAAAGATTTTACAAGATGTATGTTTCTTATTTTTCTAGTGTTGTATTCCAGGTAAAGCTGCTTTGGGGCAATATTTTCATAATTTGTTGTTTATACATAGTTTTAATATATATATATATATATTTTATATAATATATATATAATATTATTTTATAATATTTCAAACATAAAAATATGTAAGCTAGCTGCCTTTATATTTAAGGAAGTGGTCCCTTGTAATGTTTAAAATGATTCAAAAACCCATTTGTTTAAATTGTTCTGTTATTTAGAGTTTGTATTATAACTTTTATATTTTAATCCAATGTTGGGCAAGATGTGGAATACTGCTTAATTGAGCAATAAGTGAAATATCTCTTAATCGAAAGACATAATTGACATAATAATAAGTAATCAAAATAATCTCCTCACTGTCTCCACAGGATGTAATCATCTGAGTATCATGGGACTTGTTTACATCTAAAACGAAGTCTGCCAATAGGATGAGTGAGCATGGAGACAGCATCGTCCCGTTTAACCCCACAGAACTCAGGTCAGGAGAACCAGCTTGTAAAGCAGATATTACTGTTCTACGTGTAGACCCCAGGACAGAGAAGAGCAACAAGGAGGAGCTCAAAGACATCAAGAAGCCATATGAAGGTGCCAAACTACTTCAGGATGAGCATAACAAGGACGCCAAACTTAGTCCATTTCAGCCTAGACCTCCCTCTCTTCCAAAGCCCGTGGGATTGGGAATGGGGGGTAAAAACATCTCATTTGATGAGAAGGTGAGGGGGAGAAGATTGAGGAACAGCCAGGAGAGTCTCACCGACCCAGGCGAGACGGGCTCTTCCACCGATTCGCTTAAGGAAGACACCTCATCAAATGGCCAAGGCCTTGCATCCGGATGTCCCCTCGATCTCCCACCCATGGAGACACCGTCATTCAGGATTAGGACCGATAGCTTCTCCGAGACTGACAATGAGCATAGTGATCCGAATAAAGAGCGTTTGAAACCGTCCAGAATTATTTTGTCCCCACTGCAGTCCACTGGGACATATCCTCCTCTGGAGAACAGCGCAGCCTCCACGTCCTTAAGGACAACTAATCGGATTGACAGGGATTGTTTGGATTACAGTGCGGTGGGGAGAAGGGGGCGGGGATCGGAGAGGCTTCAGAGGAATCTGAGCGATAGCCGGCTGTTGGACACCATGGTGTCAGACAATGCCTCTGTCCATTCCATGAAGTCCACCTATAGCGTTCTGAACCCCATCAGACCCCGGGATGTGAGGAACAGGTGAGTGTTTTTTTATTATTAATTTGTTTTGTCTTTTCTGCAGCCTGTTTCGCTCAGCATATCGCCATCTTCAACGTCAAGATCACATGATCACAGGCTGATGTGGCACCTTGATTACCTCCCAAAGGGTCCTAAGTGTCCAAGCCACATTTTTATGTGAATGAATGCATGAACCAAATTAAATTTCATGTTTCACAAGGAAGTAGACCATGATTAATGTTCCTGCAGGAATGAGCACAGGCACTTGCCAGAGTAAGTCGCTACTTACAGAATCACCTGAACAGCTTTAGTTGTGGGAAGTGAAAAGTGAAGCTGGAAGTTTATCGAGAGATTGGAGAGGAAGGGTGAAGCAGTGTGAATGCAAATGGGATTAATGGATCAGTGAGATGCTAGTTCAGTAACTGTCAAACTGCATCAGGAGAACATACATTCATGTCCTACTTGAAGGTGACATGATACATGTATGGGCAGTATGAAATACAAAATCTTAATTATTAGACAATTTACATCTTTATTAATGTTATAATTCAGCCAGAAATTAAATTGTCGTCATGAACTCCTTGTGTCGTTTTTAAATCTGTATGGTTTTCATCTGTGGAACATCAGTGGAGATATTTTTAAAGAATGTTCTCGCTGTTCTTTTCCATCCATGAGATCATATTTTGTCCAGGGGTTTACACAAGACAATTGTAAAATAATAAACAGTGAAACACTTTACTAAACAATCAATGCTACAAGTAAATTTAGACATAAAATATGAAAAAGCGATTTGCTAAAGATTGCATCTAACAGGCTCATTAAATTATTCATGTTTATAGATTTACTTTAATGGATTAATTGAGGTAATTAACATGTAAAAATAAGGGAACTGAGCATTAACGATTAAATACCCAGTCCGTATTAGCTACTGAATCCGATAATGAAAAGGAATAAAAAAAATTCTCTAATGTTGGCTGATAACCGACAAAACGCGCGCGCACACACACACACACACACACACACACACACAACATGTTATTGTGTAACATGCTAGGAGGAGCATTTCTCAACTCTTTTGGTCTTATTTATTGTTTTCCTGAAAATGTACCTGCTTATGGTTTTAGGAGCTTTCTGGAGGGTAGTGTTTTGGGTAATGGTGCCTTGCTGGGGGCAGAGGAGCTCGACCGCTACTTCCCAGAGAGACGGCTCGGTATCTACGTGGCCACATGGAACATGCAGGGAGAGAAGGTGTTGAGCAATACTGTCATTTCGAATGATTTGTTTGTTTAAGTGCATAGCAGCTGTAGCCTAAGCTCTTTCTCTTGGTCTCAGGGGCTTCCATGCAACCTAGATGATCTGCTGCTCCCAACTGACACAGACTTTGCACAGGACGTCTATGTTATAGGAGTTCAGGAAGGGTGTCCGGATAGGTAAGACTTTGAGTTGCTTTTCACAGGTTTTTTTTTTTTTTGTCTGTTTCTGATACTCAGCACATTTACTCTCTTCATGTTTGTCCACAGGAGGGAGTGGGAGATCCGTCTGCAGGAAACACTTGGGCCGTATTATGTGATGCTGTATGCAGCAGCCCATGGCGTTCTCTATCTCACTGTATTTGTCAGGAGAGACCTCATATGGTTCTGTTCAGGTAAAGCTTTTTTTCTTCAAATTAAAATGATATAATATATGTTGTGCACTACTGTTCAAAAGTTTAGGGTCAGCAGGATATTTTAATGTTTTGCAAGAAGTCTCTTATGCTCACCAAGGCTGCATTTATTTGATCAAAAATACAGTAAGACAGTAATGTTGTAAAATATTACAATTTAAAATAAAAATGTTTCTATTTTAATGTATTTTAAAATGTAATTTATTACTGTGATGCAAAGTTGCATTTTAACCTTATTACTTCAGCCATTACTTCAGTCTTCGGTGTCACATGATCCTTCAGAAATAATTCTAATATGTGACCCTGGAGCACAAAACCAGTCTTAAGTCGCTGGGGTATATTTGTAGCAATAGCCAAAAAAACTTTGTATGGGTCAAAATTATCGATTTTTCTTTTATGCCAAAAATCATTAGGATATTAAGTAAAGATCATGTTCCATGAAGATATTTTGTAAATTTCATACCGTAAATATATAAAAACTTAATTTTTGATTAGTAATATGCATTGCTAAGAACTTCATTTGGACAACTTTAAAGGCGATTTTCTCAATATTTTGATTTTTTTGCACCCTCAGATTCCAGATATTCAAATAGTTGTATCTCGACAAACCATACATCAATGGAAAGATTATTTATTCAGCTTTCAGATG